CAAGTCATGATTATGTAAATCACAAACCATATTAAATATCAATGTATCATTCTCCTTAAGGTACCCCACAACTTAAAAGAACACACACATTTCCCCGTTTTAGTGCCATCTCGTTTTAACTTCAGGATAGGTTTTTGGTACTTGGAACTTCTTTTGCATGTCAGTGTCACAAATGTTAATATCCTATCAGAACCAAAATATGACCTCCCGATTATAATACTGAACCCCTATTTGGCATCCTCTGCGCGGATCCATTAGAGAATATGGTCATGAATAGCAAACTCATGTTTAGTTCTAAATTTTATTCAAACATCTACATGGACAATACTCAGTACCGGGACATCACGCGGTTTAACATCCATAGACACAAAAACTTTGGGGAATGCGTGAGGGTGCACTATTTTGACCCCGCAACTTAAAAGAACACACACATTTCGCCGTTTTAGTTCCATCTCGTTTTAACTTCAGGATAGGTTTTTGGTACTTGGAACTTCTTTTGCATGCCAGCGTCACAAATGTTAGTATCCTATCAGAACCAAAATATAACCTCCCGATTACAATACTAAACCCCTATTTGGCATCCTCTGTGCGGATCCACTAGAGCATATGGCCGTGAATAGAAAACTTCTGTTTAGTTCTAAATTGTATTCAAACACTACATGGACAATACTCAGTACCGGGATATCACGCGGTTTAACATCCATAGACACAACAACTTTGGGGACTGCGTGAGAGTGCACTATTTTTTCATCCAATCATAACAAAATTAAAATAATATTCAACATGAAAACAATCCATATTTTAATTATGGAACAATATGCAACACGATCCAGGTTGTAAAATACAGACGCAACGCTCATTTTAAGCAGAAAAACCAAATTCTTACATGAGGAAGGAAATACATGTAAATTACTTTAAATTCTAGTTTCTTTTGTGTCTTTAGATGTGAAAAAACAGAATAATGTGGTTTTGATGTACCAAAATTGATTGAGACTAGAAGGAGATTTTTTGTAAGATTTTGAAAATATGATGGTATTATCATGAAATAAAGAGTACATGCAAGATGATATTATATTCAGTTTCCCACTTGGTGTTTCTGGTTATTGGTATTCACACTATATGCGTAGATTGAACTCCTAAATATTTTGGGGCTAATAAAGGGTGGTTCACTAATGATGATGATGATGATGATGGTGTGGTGTGTAATATGTGCGTCTGTATTTTGAAATCCAGCCAAACAAATGACATTTTTAGGGTTTTTTAAGGGTGGTTGTCTACCACTAAGTGGGAAAACCAATTCCAATTTTTTTTTTGATTCTTTGTTTTTATTTTATATTTTTTATTGAGATTGCTTAGTACCTCCGACGCCTTATGAACTTAATAAGCATATTTCATTTAGAGCATATACCATTTGGACCGCTTCATACTTTGTCAACAATAAACTTAATCACGTCGTAAATAAATAAATGTTATTTTCACTTTATTAAAAAATATAAGACATTGTACATCTCTAAAATATCTCTTCACATTTCTGTCTTTAGACTTCTTTTTAATGTTGTTGAGGTTTTTGAACATTTAGTTAAATTTTGAGGAGGAATATATTGTTTTCTTCTTTTTTTTATAGTGTTAAAAATAAATCTTTTAAACTTTATTTTGACTAAGAGTTTTAGATCTTGTGTTGGGGGTCTGCTGCAAAACCTGAACAAAAGAAGATGAAAGCGGTACGATGAAAGTTGCACAAAATAAATTCCAAAACGTGTGTTTAGACTAAGTTTAGGTTCCATTCGCCCCCACCAATTTAAGAAAATTGGATACAAATGAGTTAGCCGGCGAATCCCCTTCAGGATACTTTGGAAACCTTAACATGAATTGCACACTCATATAAAGTATATCGATCAACGATATTTTACAGAATATAGTTCTCTCATTTATTCTCGTGCACTAGAAAAATAAAAGAATGATGTAGATATGATATTTGGCCCTTGAAATATACTATTTTCGTGTGTTCTCAATGCCTAACAAATGTCTCTATTTATAGATAAATTTATGTCCTTTGGTGAAGGGAAATAACTTTTGAAAGCTTTTGTTCATGAATGGTTATATTGTTTCAATTGTAAAGCATTACACTTTTTCTCTAAAAAGGTATTTTTTAACCATTGCAACTTTTCAAAGATATTTTGGAAATTTCACCAACAATCTCCCACCATTTTCAAAATATATCTAAATCCATTATTCTGGAAATTTTATGGTTTCCGATAAAGGTATCTTATATTCATTAGAACAAACGTACATAACTCACACCTGAAATTTTGGTACGATTGATCCAATTATTAATATGACACATTTAATATGGCCTTGTGTCTCTTTGAAGCGGCACCACTTTATTCTCATATAGGTAGACTATATCAGAAATGCACCCATAATTATGCATTCTAACAAACATATGCTATATGTCTATTAAGAGGAAACATCATCCTACCATATTTATTCTTATGGTCCAAGTACTCTTACTTTTTGGGATGCATTTATTGTTAAGTACTTCAATCCCTCTAATAATGTACTTTCATCATTGAACTCAAGACTTAATATTAATCAAGTGTGAGTTGAGTTTTCACAATTGGTGATTAATTAGATAAGGGCTTGTTCCACATCTTTTAAAGATGTTTTCCTTGTATTCAGTTATATTCAAAGACATCATATTCTTGTCAATTCTTTCGTCAAAAAATTGCAAGATTTTTTAAACTTTAATAAACTTTGAATATTCAATCTTTTAAATACTTTATGTACTCTTATGTCAATCTTCATTTTGTTAATTTTTTATATTTGAAGTTTTACTTCCACTTAAATATATATATACAAAATATATTTAATGCATAGCAATCATTGACGAACTTTCGGTTTGTGTTTTCAACAATCCTTGGAGAGCCTTCCTCATACGGTTCTTCATTTATGAGAATCTCGAATTCCTTATCTTCAGTGATAAGGTTCTCAAAATTACACATCTCAATATTTAATAATGACATAAGACTCTAAAATCAAAGAAATCATAAACCATCTTTAAATAATCTTTATTTATCTTATAATAAAAAATTTCATTAAACATAAACATATTATTCACATAAAATACAAGTTAAAACTCAATTGTGTAATTTAAATCATAAACTTATGATGAATTTAACCGCATTAGAAATTAATAAATTTTACTTTAATAGTTCCAAATAATATTAATAATGCTTCCTAGAGCAACACATACTTTGAATTACATATTGTTGTATCATTGGAGCAAGATATAATTTCTTCATGTGAATATACGGTACCAATTATTAACATTCAAAGCAAGGCATACTGTAAGAAATTATTAACACAGTACCAAAGCACATACTTGCTTTCAATTATTACGTATATGATGGATTTATTACATAATATATACATCCATTTTCATTTTATTTTTTTACTATTAAAATATTCAAAAGCAAAACTTCAAAATAAAATACTAAGCAAGGCATCTGTTTATGCCTTATGATACAACGTTATGTATGTACATGTATATACATTTGGTGCAGTGATTTGTTTCTATATTTACATGCTAAGCTCACACTTTTTGTTACAATCCATGTAATGTTTAAGGTGTGATTCAATTATATCTTAATTTTCAAACAGTACAGAAACATTAATGAATAGTTTTATTATTTAACTATAATATATATGCTTAAACCATTCATACCAGACAATGTTTAACGTCAAACGATAATCTTACAATGACATCGGCTTTCACAAAACTCTTCGGCCAATGTTCTAATTATTTTAATATTAATTATTTATTAAAGAAAATCATAATATCATAATCATTCTAATACCATTTACTAGAAAATTTTCATATTTAGTTTTTGATATTAAAGATTTCACTATGTTGTAATTTCCATGAGAAATAATATAATTTAACCGAGTTCATAATAGTGATTGTTTTTGTGTTCGGAATGTGTCAACGTACAATAGTTCATTCGTTGATGTTTGAATCGAATTTAAAAATTATTATATTTTATGTTGGGGGTTACTTGAACAAAACAAGATGAAAACAGTACGATGAAAGTTGTGCAAGATAAATTCCAAAACATATGTTTACACTAAGCTTTAAATTCAATTCGCCTCCTCTAATTTAAATAAATTAGATGCAAATGGGTTAACCGGCGAGATACTTTGGAAATCTTAACATGAATCACACATTCATATTAAACATATCGATCAAAGATATTTTATAGAATAAAATTCTTTCATTTATTCTCGTGCATTAAAAAAATAAAAGAATAATTTAGATATGATTTTTGACACTTGAAATATACTATTTTCGTGTGTTCTCAACGCCTAACAAATGTCTCTATTTATAGAGAAATTTATGCCATTTGTTGAAGACAAATAACTCTTTAAAAGATTTTGTTCATGAATGATTATATTGCTTCAATAGTAAAGCATTACACATTTTCTCAAAAAGATATTTTTTTTACTATTGTAACTTTTTAAATATATTTTGAAAATTTCACCAACAATGAGTGAACTTAAGATGAAATGATAATGTTTAGACATATTCGTATCAATTTGATTTATACAGTAAACTTGACTATGAAAATCATGTTTAAAATCTTCATAACCCCTTTTAACTCTCAAAAATTTAAATCCAAATATGGTGTATCGTGGATCTCAAATATGAATCAAGTAATCAACGGTATCATGTGTATTTAACAATTGATAGATTGAATTAAATTATCCTTTTTGAAGAGTATGAGTTGAGTGGATTCAACCTTCACTATAAAATCTAGTTTCACAAAATAATTAGAAATGAAACCATGGTATTTTGTATATATTAAAATGGGATAATAAAAGTGATACAATCTAATGATGGTTGTGAAAGATAAAATTTAAGGGAAATATATTCATGCCATTAAAGACTAAGCATGAAGTAATATAAAGTTCATGCTTGAAATACAATACATGCATTCATGCATTTAGTTTTTATGGTCCCAAAGTCCTGCATACCCTTCACTTTCTTCTTCTCCTCCAAATCCTCTATTTTTTCCTCCTCTCCAACTAACTTCATTTGCTCTTTCTCCTTGTCCTCCAAAACCACTATTTCCTCCTCCTCTCCAACCTAATTCATTTCCTAGATCACCTTGTCCTCCAAGTCCATTGTTTTCACCTCCTCCTTGAGCTCCTCCGATATTTATCGAACCTTTAAAATCTCCGCTTTCTATCGAACCCCCCCAACCACCTCCATTTATCCAAAATCCCAGACCATCATCATTATGTTCTTTTCCCATATCTCCATCGTGCTCACCTCCTCCTAAACCTCCATCCTTATTTACTCCAAGTTTTGTACCAACTGCAAATAAAACAAACATGATTATATAAAGAGAAAAATAGTGATGCACTTATATAAAAATTAATTTTACACTGTCAATCAATCATAATCTTGTAATAAAATAAAACACATCTTAATTTTAAAATTCTTTTTTAATGATAATAGAGTTTGTTAACTTTCTAACATTATAAAATAAGTGTATATAAATTAAACCCTTATCAAATATAATTTAAAATAAAAAATTGTGTAAACAAATGATATTTAATTATTTCTATACTTTGCTTTCCGTCATCCTTTGATGGTTCAATTGCTACAACAGATATGAAAATTACTGCACAAAGAAGGAACACGAAGACAAAGGACTTGATATTCATCTTTGATCTATAGGAATTTTATTGATGTGAAATATGAATGAAGTTAACAACTATTTATAGATGATGAGACTTGTTAAGTTTATGAAGAATGAAAAGATCATAATTTCATAATATATTGTGTAGTAATAATTTGGCTCATTGTGAGAATAATAAGCCATCGACAACTATTGAGTGGTAAATTGGGACATGCTCATCAAATGAGGTAAGTAAAAATTTGATGTAACTAACAAGGTTCTTGTTCTTTTGCACAAGTAACTTTTAGAAAATTTAAATAGATTTGTATAATTTTAAAATATTCATATTAGATTAAAATAATAATATTTATTAAAACAATTATAATTGTGTTATTCTCTCACATTAAAAAGATTTAATTTAAATAATTAAAAAATTTATTCCAAATATTATATATTAATAGGCACCTTTTATATATATATATATATATATATATATATATATATATATATATATATATATATATATATATATATATATATATATATATATATATATATATATATATATATATATATATACCGGATCTATTGACATCAGGCGTAAGTCTAATAAACCTACACAAAATCTTAAATATTAATAACACTCGATTAGACGATCATACAAATAGATTAATTTTTAAGAAAAATAATAAATCATTTTTTTTTATTTCATTTAATATGATTGTTTGATCAATCTTTTTAACAGTTGAAATTGGTGTTAATCTTTTAAACTAACATCTGATGTCAATGAATCCTGCCTCTTTTATTTATATATATATATATATATATATATATATGAGCTACAAAACACGCCATTAACGAATAGAAAAAACAAAAGAATCTACAAAAGACAACTACATCACAAAATGATAACATTCTAGATCCCGACACTAAGAGCCACCATTAACATCAACGATACATATTTCTCCAAAGGAAACATCCCTTGAAAAACTTGGTTGAAGACACTCTAAATATTATAGACTTAGAAAAAGAATATGATTTTCAAACTAATTTATGAAATTACATGAGTAATCCAAAGATCTATCAAGATATCCTCTTATCTTCTAAATCCTCCTCGTTTTTAGGCATAAGTTAAAAATATAATCATTCAGATATTTTTTGGCTAAACCATGCCACTAAATGCCAGATCATAATGAGGTCACCTCTAATCCTAGAAAAACTCCTTAAAGAAGTAAAGATATCAGAAGTGAGATAATTTCCCTAGAAAGAACAAAAAGACCGTCTAATCCACCTAAAAATCATATACCACAAAATTTCCACCACATCACACATAAAAACTAGGTGAGAAATTTTCTTAACAGTTCCACGACATAAACCAACAAAATAGTCATTCAAATGAACAAAAGCGTAGAGATTAACATTTTCTTGTAGGGATCATATCTTGGATGAGTTTCCCATAGAAATTCATCATGTTAGAGATGGCCTAAGTACGATAAATTTAGAGCGGATCTTATCTGAACTATTAATAGTTGAATCAACACCAAAATTTGTATGAATAATGGCATCATTATCTATAAAAACAAAGTAAACACCATTTTTTTGTTTCCCCAACACCAAAAATCTCTCTAGAGAGAATATATTCCTAAATTGTCAAAAGAAGGTTTCCTACCAACTTATGTTCTCAGACAAAAAAGACCCCGTTCATAGAAGATCCCAAATCAAAGTTTCCTCCTTCCAAACACAAAACTCATCCACCTTCCACCTCTATTGGTTGGTAGATAATATAATGTATATGGAATATTAGTCTTAAACATTTTGATCCACCCACAGATCATCCCAAAAAGAGGTGACTATGCAAGTTTTACCCTTATTTCATAGACAATTCACAAACCAGTCAGAGGGAGCAACGCCTTTAGAACCTAAAAGAGAGACCATTTTCTTACAGGTAGAGTAAGAATAAAGACTAGAAGTCCAACTCCCTTTACCTAACAAAGCTATATTAGCTAAGTAGAGATCACACACGCCAATTCACATCTTTACTCAGGTTTACAAACTTTAGAACATTTAACTTATAAAATATTCAATGTAGGTTTTATCTAGACCACCTTTTATATAGACCATCTGAATCTTCTTTGGAAGATAAATTGTGAAAACGGTCCTATTTCCATTCAAACATACACATGGCTCGAAGAGAGAAGAGACATGGAAAAGTGTAATTGTGAGTTCCCACAAGGTCTCTAGGAAAGGGTTTGCACCCACTAGCATACTAAGATACTCGAAAGTAAGCATTTTATAACTATAATGAAGGATGTCATTAGCTAAATCCACAAAATAGGGTTTACATTGGCCCCAGTGAGACTATTAATTACAATGTTCACACAAAGCAAAAAATAAATCTCAAACCCCTAATATTAGCTCTAATAGTCCAAACATTCTCAAACGAAGAATCTATCAAGCTTAGAGTATCATCTTATATTATATATGAAAAACCACCAAGTCACATGAACTGTTCCTATAACAAGAAAAATATTTCAACTCAATTTCCCAACTCAACAAGCCAATGAGCCATTCCATCACTAATAGAAAAGTAAAGGGGAAAAGGGCCTCATTGTTTCAAGCCTATATGAATACTAATCTCATATCAAAAACCCATTGACACACCCATGAACACCATTTATCATAAAAAAAATTCTAGCAAGAATATAATCCATAAACTCAACTCGCTTAGTTTTCTTGGAAAAATCAACCTACTATTTGTTACAACTATGAATCATCCAAAAGTATCTCTTTAACTAAAGGGAATTTATTTTAAGAGATAATTGTATCCCTAATCATTGTTAATCTGACCATAAAATCTTATACTACACGCTTAGAGAGGGAACCAACCGATAGATCTAGTGAAAGACCACAAGTGAGAAGGGGACTTTATTTATTGAATTAGGGTAAAAAAGAAGGAAAATTGCGACCCAAAATGTAACGGAAATTGAAATTTTCCTTTAATGATCCTTATGAATGAGCATGGTCAGTGATATAAATTATTACCTTTTGTGGCAATTCAGACCTTTGATGTTGTGATCACGAGTGTTAATGAAGAACAACGCCTCTACTCAGTCCACACGAATAAATCACTTCCGGTCACAATCCTAGCTGCTTACGAACGAAAACTTTGAGTAAGAGAGTGAGAGAAAATACAACTAGGATTTTAAGACCGAATTTCCGTCAAGTGAAAATGCTTCAGCACAAGGTTCTATTTATAGAACCACTTGTGTGGGATACAAACTAAAAGCCCAATTAAGGCTGGAAGCTAAAAGCCCAATTAACCTTACATAAATTATACCTTATGATGTACCGTATATCACTTAAGCATGTGGTACCTTACCATATTCTGTATTCCACTTAAGCGTATTATACCTTACGATGTTCTATAATTCTCTTAAGGGCATTATACCTTACAGTGTTCCTTATTTACTTTATCTCTCATCAACCTATCCTTATGTGTGTGACCCTGTAGATTTTCGTGATATTGGAAATTATATCAAATCACACATTTAACATAATAAACAGTGAGCGGTATATAGTAACAGATCACGGCTACCCAAGTCACGAAAATGTCATATGATCTGAAAAAATCTTTTTGTGATAATATTTGTCTGTACAATTACTCGTTTTCCCTTATGTCTATATTGAACGCAAGGCATATACCGTATCATCCTTGTCTAGTTCAATATTTGGCCCTTAGACATTTATCCTATTATGCATGATGGGCATATTCTATCTAGGTCACTCATGTCCCTCAACATGTTTTTTGAAGTACCCATTAATTGTATTTATGGTCATTCAGTTACGGATAACATTTGATCAGCAATAAAGTACTTAACTCTACATCTAGGGTCCATAGTGGTTTCAGGTCGAAGTGTGGTATACACCATTATCACCATGAGAATAACTTATGACACCTTACATAAAATTCTATGTAGTATTCTCATAGAGGGTCAATCCAGTATAAATATTACTCATAATATTCATACCTATGTCAAGACTTGACAACTCCTTATCTATGATCCAAGAGATGTGATCATCAGTCTATCTACGTAATAATCTCAATGCTTTAATATTATCCAATTTTGAAATAAAGCTCGACTACATATACTTTAAGAATAATGTCCTTATGTTTAATGGGATCTCATGATTAAGTCACACTTAACATTTTATTAAATAGACAAACTATTCTAGGAACTTTATTATTTTGGAAAAACAAACATAATAAAGAAATATCTTTTATTATTAATAAGTAATTTGATACAAGTACCAAAAGTATTGGCCTCTAGGGCTTACACCAACAAAAAATAGGAGGAAAATCTACACGAGAAAGTATCCATGTGTTGTACCCCAAAATATTCCCTCCCTTTTATTCAAGACATTCTCCTAGGGTTCTCAAATTCTCAAGGTTGCTCAAGAATTGATCAGACAAATTATCCTCCTAAGCAATGGGCTTACAACTAGGGTTTCATTTTTCTCAAGGAAGTATGGGTTTCTAAGGCCTCAAGTGGTTTCCATGGTTCCTTATATGTCTCTAAGAATGCTCATACTAAGTTTCATGACTTGCATCATAAGTTTGCTGAGTCAATGACTCAGATGACTGAAAATTAACTATATTTGATAAAAAGTCAATTATGGTCAACATACAGTCAAACTTCAAGATTTTTGGTCAACATCAATATTTTGAAGTCATATTCATCATTTGATCAAGGGTTGATCATGACTAATCAAGAAAAGCTCTCAATTCATCAAAAGTCAAAAGTTGCCAAATTATGGTTTTTCTAAGGAGAAGTCAACTAAACTTTGGCCAAGCATAACTTTCACATGCTTCATTATATTTTCCTCAACCAAAGCTCATTATGAAGGAAATTCAATTCTCTATAACTTTAACTCTTTAAGATCAAGTCCAAAAATTCTTCATTTGAGAGATATGGTCCAAAACATTATAGGTCATTCTAAAAGTTAACAAAAAGACACGTTTTGTCAAAGCACCTTACATTAAGATAA